ACACAGACAGGGGGGCTGATGTGAAGAACATGCAAGAGGAATCACCACAGGAGAAGTCAAATAACAGTTGTGCTCACCTGCCCAGAAGAAACACACACCTCTAATACTGCCTGGCTACTCCTTGCACACAGAGGGGAAGCTGGCAGGGAACCAGCTACTTTGTTTCCCACCTCAGCGCTCCCCTGCACTGACATGACACAGAAGACCAGCAACTCTTTCAACTTGTTGACTGTTTAGAGAAAAGTCTGCATATAATGTTCTGAGCTTGCCTGAAGCTCCAGATGGCTCACTGCCCTGTTAAGAAGACAAGCAATGTCATGGCAGACTCCAAGTGGCCAGAACACTGTGCTGCTCTCCCTTCACGAAGAAAACAGCTGGAAGATTTGTAGTTAGCAGTTTGGCTACACCTGAGCCAGTCTACAGTTGTTGAGACGGGTCACCGTGGTTTCTGCAAGTCCTAAGCCAAGGAAGCCCATTGGGGCCATCCACTAGAGGCTCACTAATGAGGCCAACACACAGTCTTCCATGTCAGCAATGTCCACAGCAATTCAGAACTGAGGGCGGCGCTTCCGACCTGTGTATTTTGTGTCTGCCCGCACTTCCCTAGGGAGAAAAGCAAAGAACAATTCAGTGTGATCCACAGGCCACTCTGGGACAGGAAGGGAAGGTGGATCATGGCAGGAGTCTAAGTGGGTGACAGCAAGCCAGACCAGCACAGTTAGCCTCAGCTGAAGCAGGACCCAGCTGAACTTACTTGCCCTGTCGTCGTCTGCGTTCTTTCTTCTCAAGAATCCAGTCCCGGCTTTTCTTCACAGACTTGCCCTTGGCATTTCTGAATCGTATCCTACAAAGAGAGCAAACAGCAGCTAGGGAGGAACTGGAATGGGGGCACACTTCTGTGCTCTTGAGGATTTCCACTCAGAAACAGCAAGGTGTGGCCACACAGTCCAAGCCCAGGCACTACTGCAGGAGGGAGGCTGCCACCTGCCCTGGCTTTGAGCAAAGAAACACCTACCCTTCACAGCTGCAGCAGGCCAGCACTCCCCTCTGCTGTATCTGACACCTCACATGCACCCTTGTCTGCCCTACTCTGAATACAGCAAATGCCCCAAATTCCCAACAAGTTGTCAGCTCTGCTACAGCCTTACAAGATGAGATACCCTCTGGACTGAATGAGCAGAGCACTGCAGTGTAAGAGGCAGGAAAACATGACAGCCACCAGCTCCTGGCAGCCACGACGACTTTCCTCTGGTTTTTGTTCTCTGTCTCTTTCCACTGGCTGCAAGAGGGGTTCCTCCTTGCAACGCTACCATGGAAGGAGACCTGGCCAGAAGGAAAAACCACCCAAGCAGTTGCTATGCAATCACAGCAAAAAAATTCACTGAGGAAGGAATGGAATATAAGACTTCAGACACAGCCTTCCCACCAAAAAAGCAATGCTTGGCATAAGCCAGCATTGTAAACAACCTCTCTCCCACCATCAATGGCCTATGCTACAGCACTGAGTGCTAGACAGAAGTGCACCTCCAACTAATTGCTCAGCTGCAGTTTCACAGTGAGCATCAAGGACAGCTCCCTGACAGCACTGCAAAGCTCTCTAGTCGAAGCAGCTTGTCCTGCTCATTTCCTGAAGGGCATTGTCATGCCCTTCAGCATGACAGAGCAATGCCCATCTGGACTGCAGAGAGTCATCCCAATGCCCCCCTCCCCTTCCCTCCCTCCAGCCACTTCATGCATGGTAGCACCCTGGTCCTCAGCCAGCAAAACTGAGTGCTTACACCCCCTGACACTTGGGAACAACTTCACTAAACAAACAATACCTCTCATTGGTGAATTTTGCCTGATGTATCTCTTCTCCATCAGCACACTCAGTACCAAGGCCCTGAAAAACAAAATTCTTTCATCTGGAGAAGACAGAGCCAATGTTCACTGCCATCTAATTATGGGGAGCAGTGCTTTGCCAGGAGAAGGACTGTGGCAGGAGCAAGCTGATCTCCCAGAAATTGTGGCAATGAATAAAGCTGTATCTGCATACATAGGGCTGCCCCCTGCCCACAGCTCTTCCACATCAGCCAACAGCCATTTCTGCTCCTTGGCTGAGTTCCTTACCTTTGGTAATGTGCCAGATGCCCCAACAAAGAGACAGAGGAAGAACCTGAAAGAACAAGAGTGAGGAGCTAGGAGTCAACATGCAATTCCCAGTTCTGAAGCAAGACCGTCAGCTTTTATAACACAGTCAGATCCAAGCTGTCATCTCTGCCCAGGACTGTATCCTGAGAGAAAGGAACACAGCTTACAATAATAGCTGCTGAAGCTATGCTTCACCTCACAGACGCCCATACACAAAGATACAGAACTCACTTCTTAGCTTTGGCACTGTTGGGGTAATCTACGACCATTCCACCAGTAAAGCCAGCTCTCATGGCTTGGGCTGTGATGAGCTCCAGCTGAAAAAGGAGCACAAACAAAAGACATTTATTTAGCAGTCACTACCAATGATGCCCAGCCCTCTGTCAGACACAGCTGACTGTGTGTGCCAAAGACAAGTCAACCCTACTCCTGTTAATCCCTGTCCCTCGCTCTCAGCTCTGCAGTAGGATCCAGACAAAAGTCTGCAGCATTTCCCTAGTTCTCCCTACTCCTCTGCCTACCCTGGGTTAACTGGAAGAGCAGACTCTCAGAGAGGGATACAGGGAGGGATTTTCCAGCCTCGGGAAATTACAGTACAGCATTGATAACTACAGCTCAGTCTTCAAACCCATCACACAAAGGAACACACAGCACAGCAGCTGTAGATCACATCCTGCCAATTTCTTGGATTTTAAGGCTCAGCCCAAGATCAACTGTGAACAGGGGAAAGGACGTAGGGCATTCTCCTTACTGTTGTTTTTTTTTCTTTTTTTTCTTTTTTATCCCCTCTAGTTCTTACAGAGCTTTACAAGTGAGAGGAAGGACACAGACGAAGACCCAATGCAGGAAAACATAATGCATCCTGAGCCTTAAACATGCATGTAGCTTCTCTGCTGTACCTGTTCTGAGTTCTCAGGGTACAGCTGCAGTACAGCTCGGGATCCTCGGGCCTATGGGAAACAAGGTCAGTCACAAGCATGGCTTAGAGCAGGCTTCCCCTCTTACTGCCCAGTCCACAATCCTCAGGAAGCCTCCTAGAGAACTCTCCCAGGAGAGCAGCTCAGATGGCAAAGACAGAGTCACCACAGCACAGCAAGGCACAGGGCTAGCAGCAGGAACTGCAGAAACACAGGCACTGTGCAGACAGGGAAGCAGTCAAGGAACGGGTGCTGTAGCTAATCCTACATTTCAGTTACTCGAAATCTTGCTACAAGGCACTGATAGGGATACCAAAATAGGCAGAGGGCTGACTGAGAGAGCATGACACTTACCAAGGCAGTATAAAGAGTTGAAAAGAACCTATAGAGGCGTTTTGGAGGACTATGTGACTTCTTGTCAGCGTTACAAAGCCACTGCACTGCAGAAATACTGCAAAAGAAATCAAGACCCACAGGACCCTGAACCATCAATTCCTTAGCAGAGCCTCCCACCTCCCTTTGAGCATTCTTTTAGCACTGAGCATGTGCTCGGCTTCAGAGAAAATGATTCATTTTTTCTCTATAGCCTTGCCTTGCTTTGCAGTAAAGTCATTACAGAGACTCACTAAGTTACGCCACGAGCAACCTGGTGCAGCAGATAGTCAAGCAACAGAAACATCAGACCTCTCCTCTAGGCCATATGTTCAGATAATACAGTGCTTGGTTGTGGCCCTAACAAAGCCCATAAGTAGCCACACAGGTTTTGCCAGTGACCCCAAAGAGAACACGAAGCTTGGTGACAGAGAGCCCCTGCTTCTTTCCAGTACCTTTAAGAAGCATTCATTAACAAAAGTGTTTATTTCCTCCAGGCCTTCACCCCCAAACCAACCATCAAAATTTTGCTCAGCTGTGAAGCCAGTCCCTTAATCAACAGTACTGAAATGCTTTGGTGCACATCTCAACTCACCTGAAAGTACACCATCTCTAATTTATTTAGTCCAATCATGCTCCTGATTCACTGCCACAAAAACAGTCAGACAGCCCACAGAGCTGCACACTGCACATGCCAGCAGAGCGGGGAGAGTCGCACTCCTCTCTCACAGAACATGAGCACATTGTGCACACTGCGCACCCTGCGCACACTGCAGAAGGTGGCTGTTATGCAGACTATCAGGAGAGCTCGTTCAGGTGCTCAGACTCACCTGATGCAGCCATCAAACGTGCCAGGCCTAAAGGGAATGCCATCGCCCATATCTGCGAGGAGCAGATCTCCTTCGACCTCCCTCTCCACAGCCACATCTATGCAGGGAGCGCAGCGCTCAGCGCACGCCCGCGGCGCTCCCTGCAGAGAGGGGTGCGGCGGGACGCTCACCCAGCATGGCGCGGCTGATGTCCACCCCGATCCAGCAGTGTCCCTCCTCGGAGATGTGCTCCCCGCTCAGTCCGGAGCCGCAGCTGCAGACGGGAAGGGGACAACGGCGGCTCATGGTGCCCTCCAGGGACGGCCCGGCCCCACCCCGCCCGCCGCGCGCCCCACGCCGCTCACCCCACGTCCAGGAGGAGGCACGGCCGTCCCTCGGGCAGCGCCAGCAGCTCCACGGCCCGCGCCGCCATCTGCGCCTGGATCTCGGCCACGCGGGAGCTGCGGGGCGAAGGCGGTAGGTCGGCGGAGGCACCGCGGCACACACGGACCCCCAGCACCCGCCGGGCCTCCAGCCCACCCCCCGTCCCACCGCCCACCGTACTTCTGAGTGTACTTCCGTGCCTCCGTCTCATCGTAGAACTGCAAGAACAGAATGGAAAGAGGGGGAGAGGGATGTGAGCGCGGTCCCCCGGCCCGGTTTGCCCGCCCCGCCCGCCCCGCCCGCACCAGTTCCGGAGGCCCGCGGTGCTCCGGCCGCCGCCCGCTGCCCGCCATACTGCACGATGACGTCACCGCACGGCGTCGCGCGTCTCCGCGTCGCGCCAGAGTGACGTCACGATCGGTCGCGCCCGAGTGACGTTGCGCAGCGGGCAAGATGGCGGCGCGCGGGTGCTGAGCGATGGGTCCATTGCCGTTGGGCCTGCGGCGCCTCCTGCTCCCGGGGCCGGGACTGGGGCTGGGCGCGGCCCCGCGCTGCGGCGGGAGCACGGGGAGCGGCGAGGCGCCGCGCTGCACGCTGTACGAAGTGCTGGACGTCCCGCCCACCGCCACGCCGGCGCAGATCAAGGCGGCGTACTACCGGCAATCCTTCCGCTTCCACCCCGACCGCAACGCGGGCAGCGCGGCCGCCGCCGAGCGTTTCGCCGCCGTCAGCGAGGCCTACCGCGTGCTGGGCAGCGCCGCGCTGCGCCGCAAGTACGACCTCGGCGCCCTCGGCCGCGACGACGTGCGCGGCGTCCCCCGGCCCTCGAGCCGCGCTCCCGCCGCGCCGCCCCCCGACCGCGCCGCCGCCGCACGCCGCGGCCCCGTGCCGCCGCCCTTCGACTTCGACGCCTTCTACCGCGCGCACTACGGCGAGCAGCTGGAGCGGGAGCGGGCGCTGCGGGCGCGTCGGGAGCGGCTGCGCCTCTGCCGGGAGGAGGCCGCGGCCCAGGGCCGCCTGCGGTTCCTGACGGACCTCACGGTTGGGCTGGTCTTCGTGCTGGGCTTCGCGATGCTCTACGGCCTCAAGTAGCGGCGGACCGGCGCGGTGCCGGCAGCCCTCAGGCGGCGCGGGACCCGTGCGGGGGCTCGGCGTCGCTTCTGAAGTCGTGCGGCCCCGCGCTGCCGCAGCCATGTGCCCCGTTTGCCAGCGGACCCACGCGAGGCGCCCGGCAGGGACACAGACCTCTGTGTCCTCTGACATCTCCACTGACGCTGCGCTGTGACCCTGGTGGGAACCACATCTCTGTTCTGCTGAGCCACGGTAGAGATTAAATAATAGCCAGCAGTGTCTGTGTGCTGCATGCATTCCTGGATATGCGCTTGCTGATGTTAAGTAATTTCTCTCTGCGGGTTCCATTAATCCCAAGCTTGCTACCTTTGTGCTGTCACACTTAGTACGTTTATGGAGTGCTTGGCTCCAGCCTGCGCCGTGACTCTGTGTGTCTCTGCTTGGGGTCTGCCTCACTGTGCTGGGCACGGAGTTCTCGGTTTCAGCAGCCTGAAAGAATGGAATGTGGGCCTCTGGCTGCCCATGTCCCAGTCAGCGTGTGCCATCACCTGGAGGTGCTGCCCCAAACAGCTGGCTGTGCAGAGCAGCCCGCCTTGGTGAGGGCTTGCTAGGAGCTTTGCACAAGACTGTCTTGTACAGCTGTTGTGGCTTCGAGCAGTATGCTTTTGTCAGTGGCATTATTTGTTTGACATGTCTGTGAGCACCTTTTGCAATAGGAGTGTTTGCCTAATTAAGTACTGAAGTGATTCAGGAACTGAAGATTGTCTTTAAGAGTGCCTGTCTTTCTTTGGGTGAAGGTTTTACCTACATGGTACTGCTGGCAGAGAGTGAAGCTTGCTGGAACACTGTGTTGCAACACCTGGAGTGCCAAGGACGACGTCTGCAGTACTTTGTTCTGTGTTTGCTGGGCTGGACTGTGCCAAAGATATGCCCTTCCCTCACTGCTGTGACACAGGGTTGTGATTTCTCTCAATACAAACAAAAGCAAATGCCTCGTGTTTTTCAGCGATGGAGTTCTGTGATACTGAGCTGAGCCCGAGGCAGCAGCAGGGCAGAGTGCAATGTGTACTGGTAGGTGGTACGTGCTGCTACAAGGGAGTCTCCTGTCTCTTCTGCAAAGAATTGTACCACTATTAACTGCAGAGGCTGCTGTGTGTTTGGGCAAATTCAGTGCAAGAAAAGAGAGGGCTTTCCAGGATCTTCTGTTGTTGTTGGGATTATAATCCTGAAATGTTGGCATGTGAAGAGCAGGGGGAGCCTGGCATTTGAGGGCACTGGTTATAGAGTGGAAGAGTCTAGAACTGTAGCTCTGTGCCAGCACACCCATGCACTTTTGTGCTGTAAGCCACATCCCTTACTGCCCCCCAGAAGCAGCTTCCCAGGAAGAGCTTGGCCAGCAGCATTCTCTCAGAGGCTGGGAGAGCTCTGCACAGCCATGGGAAGCAGCAGGTACTACAAGGAGCATCTCTTTAGTTCCTGGTATTGTGATTTGCCAGTTTTTAAGGCTGTCCTGCCAAACACACATTGTCTTTGGGTTGGTCTCTTTGTATACGATGCTTGGATTTCCATGCAGGGAGTGGGTCGGGTGTAGTGCAGCGTGGAGGAGCTGAGCGCTGTGCTCCTGGCACTGGAACAGGGAAGCACTCCTGTGAGATATCTGGTTCTCCTGATCTGTGCCTGGTGCTTGTGTCTGAAATCAAGGCACTAAAGCTGGGCTCATCAATGTGCCTTACCATGGTGGTTAGCGCAGTTCATATTGCTGGTTCTTCCTGTTCCTCTTCAGGTCTCCGTGACACATCCTGAACATTAAAATTAAAACAAAAAATCCATAAACTAATGATGAACTGACGTGTCTTTCTTTTGATGGGCAGTAAATGTTCTTTGTACTTGCTGGAAAATGGAAGGTGGGAGGTGGGATGGTGTTCACTCAGTGACCACAGTAGCCTGAAAATGATGTGTTTGTGGGGAGGTGCATTTTTTACCCTGAGACCTGTTGGGAGAGGCTGGACATGCAGCTTGCAGTCACTGGGAATGGGTGGGGTGACTTCTGTGGGCAGACTTCACTCCTACTACTACAGACCCACTCTGCCGCTTTTGATGTACTTGGGCTGAGCTGTGACATATCTGCTGGGTTCACTTCTTTGGAAGAGGTGAGCAAATGCTCAGCTTTGCTGCTGGGTTTGGTTGGAGGAGGGGAAGTGTGGCATGCAGAGTATGGGGAGATTTTCTTCCCATTAGCTGCTGTAGTGCTATTTTTGCCACTTTGTATACAGTATGCACTCCCATTACAACCAGACACTTGTGTTACACCCCAAAAGTAACGTCCCTTGTGTCTGGGATGTTACCAGCACTATACCTGCTAATAGGAAGAAAAGTATCATAGAATGGCCTGGGTCGAAAAGGACCACAATGACCATCTCGTTCCAACCCCCTGCTACGTGCAGGGTTGCCAACTGCTAGACCAGGCTGCCCAGAGCCACATCCAGCCTGGCCTTGAATGCCTCCAGGGATGGGGCATCCACAACTTCCTTGGGCAACCTGTTCCAGTGAAGTAGCTCTATTCCAGCCAAAAGCCGGACATTGGTTTCTCCAGATCATCACCTCTGTTTCTTGGGCAGAGTGGCCAGCTGCTGCAGGACAGATGTCAGGAAATCAGGTGCCTAGAGGTTGGAGGTTGTCCAGATTCACAGACCAGCAGCCACCTTCCAGCACCTGAGGTTTCTAGCCTCTCATCACCTTGTGTCCATGCTGTTATCATATTCAATATTTCTTCTCATTCCCCAGTTGTTTTCCCTGATGGAGAGCTGCCAGGTGCACACGGCTTTCCTTTAGCCAGGTGAGCCCACTCTTTGTGGGTTACCTGTGCCATGAGTGCCAGAGTACATCTGGCAGGCAATCCTGCCAATGTCACAGCAGGGACCGTGTAAGTTGTAAAAGCCCACGGGGATCAGCAGCTCGTGGAGAAAAAGAGGAGAGAGGACAAAAGCAAAGCTTAGCTGTTGCAATGCTGAATCAAATGAAAGCTCCCTGCAAACAGACAGGTCTGCACAGAGCCTGCCAGCCCCTTGGAAGTCAGGCACAGCCCATAGGTTGGTGCTGCAGCAGCAATGCTGTGACCGCTGCCTTCCTGCAGCTAATCAGGAGCTGCAGCTGCTGCCCCCACACCTGCAGCCATAGCTGCCCTGTAGTCAGAGGGGCACAGGAGCTCACGAGCTGCCTGAAAAGGCCTCGTACTTGGTGCTGTGCTGGCTGCCCTCCCCCAGTCCAGTCCTGGGCTGCTCTCCCTGGCTGTGGGTGGAGTGGTATGCAGGCATAGGGGTTCCGTGCCTCCTCAGGGCCTCTTCAGCCATATGGAGAAGCCGGGAAAGACCTGGCACCTGACAGGCCTGTGGACAGGGCTGGGGGGGGGCTGCAGGCTGGACAAACAGGGTCCTGAGCAGCAGCAAGGGGACTGTGGGAGTCTAGAACAGCTCTGGCCCTGCTTTGCCCTGGGGTCCGTGGGCAGAGCACTGCCCCCAGCCCTGCTGCAGTGGGTCCTGGTGCAACGTCCCAGGGCAGAGCTGCACGGTTGGCAGCACCTGCTCCCCTCCCATTCATAGCATGCCCTGCAGTACACCTCTGTTAATAGAGTTCCCCATTAACAGCCCTGCTGCTAGCTCTGCACTGCCACACAGGGAGACCCAGGGGGGATACTGTGCCACGTCACCACTGCTGTTGGCAGCCCCACCCCAGGGATTTTATCCCCTGCAGAGCAACCTTGTGGTGTGCAGGGTGTCCAGGCACCTGCCTGCACTGAGGCACTCCTCTGCCTGCCCATGGCTACTGCCTGACCACAAGGCCCAAATGTGCCAGGCTGGGGCAACCAGCTCTGCCCAGTGTGGTTGTGCAGTCCCTCCACTCATGAGCCAGGCAGGGACCCAGGGGGCTGCAGGACTCCACAGACAGAAATCAGCTGGGGCTGCTGGTGGGTTTGTGCTGCTGGCTGCCTTCTTGAGCTTGAGAGAGGCTGTTGCTTGCCTAGAGGAACTCATACTCCTGGGGTCAGAGGGTCCTGGAGCTGCTGCTGAGCCCACATGGCATCACCTGGGAGCACTTGGCCCTGGCAGCCTGTTGAGAGGCTCTGGGCACACCTGCAGCTGTGCTGTGTTCTGGGTGGTGTGACTCCTCCAAGACAGCTTGCTCCAGTGCCAGTCCCAGTGCTGCTTCAGGTCTTGTCTTGCAGGGAAATGGCACATCTCCACACCACTGCCAGCATTCAGCCCGTGCATGTGTTCCTCCTGAGCCACATGCTGTGTTGGCCTTTTTCTCCCAGATATGAGTAGCCAGATCCCCAAGGAGAAGCCTTGTGCTCACTCCCAGCACCCCATACACTGAGCCCTTGTGGCTCAGCACATGGCACTCTGTGTGTGCAGCAGCACTCACCACTCTGCTCCCACAACTCTACCTGAGCCTGAGGGCTCTGGGGCACTACAGCACAGCCCAGCAGCACAGCCCTGAGATGGGCGATATGGAGCTTCCCCAGGGAGAGAACCTGCACAGCATCATCCCTGCAACCAGCCCTTTATCCTCATCTTAAAGCCATGTTTTAACAAACCAAATGGCAGAAACAGCAGCATGGGAGTGGGGAGGAGTGCTACAGGGCAGTGGCTGAAAGATGCAGAGCTTCCCCTCTGCCTCTCGCCTGCGTCTCCCTATCCATCCCACGAGACTGAGGACCACTGCAGAGCAGTGTGGGACAACACGGGGTGTGCCCAAGCAGAGCTCAGCTCAGCACTCTGTGGCCTTTTCCAGGGTCAGGAGGGCAATGGGCACTAAGAGCACAGCAGGGTGCCCCCAGGCTGTGCTTACCTCCCACTGTGCCCATGGGTATGGGGGCAAAGGGGAGTTGCTTGGCACGAGGCCCCCACACGACCCCAAACTGTTGCCACGTGTGGGGCTGAGCTGGGGGGCTGCACTTGGTGCCTGGCCAGGGGAAAACCGCGCTCCTCATGCCCATGGGCTCTGTGTCCACCCTGGAGCAGCCATCATCATCCCCGGGCACAGCCGAGCCCAGGGGTCTCCCCAAGCCAAGGAATCGCCTCTGCCTGCCCCGTTCCTCTGCTCACAGCCAGGCCCACACGGTGTGGAACAAAGCCTTTATTTGGGGAGCGCACAGTGGGCCATGCTGCCGGACCTCCTTCCCCACTTCCAACCTCCCGGGCCCAACGACGCACCCTCTCCCCCCCTCCCGCAGCGGATGCAGCCGCTTCTTCCCCGCACGCAGCAGCTCCCGGAGTTCCGCGCCCGCCGTTCCCTGGTCCCGCACCTCTACGGCTGCAGCAGCTCCGGCTCCCGGCGGCGGAAGGGCCGGGGGCTGAGCGGGGTCGCGTGCTGGGCGGGGTGCGGGGCGACCGGCGGCTGTCCCAGGGCCGGGAGACGGTGCTTGGGCGGCACGGCGAAGGGTACAACGGCTGCCGCGGGGACGAGGACGGCGGGCACGAAGCCGCAGCGCAGCTCCAGGGCTTTGGGGGAGGCCGCGCCGCAGTCCGGCGCCGGGTTGAGCCCCGGGGTCTCCCCCGCAGGGTCCCGGCCCATCTGCAGCAGCTCCTGCAGCTTCTCCAGCTGCGTCCGAGAGACGTGGGAGCGCGCGCGGCTCCGGCAGAAGGATTCCAGGAAGGCATCGAGGGGCACCTCGTGCGCCAGGAACAGCTGCATCTGTGCCTGCGGGACGGGCGGTGCGGGAGCGTCGGACGGAGCGCTGTACAAGCGAGGTCCCCCCAAATCCCCGAGCCCCGCGCCGTCCCTCGGTGCTCCGCACACGACAGGGCACGACGCGGGGCTCTCACCCGCCGCCGCTTCACCCACTCACCTCCGCCTCCGCTTCGGACGCATCCAGCGCGGCTCGGAGCCGATCCAGGGCGCGCTGCGGGCCGCACTCCTCCAGGTACGCCTCTGTGCGGGGACAGCGCGGTGCTGCCGGGAACCTCCCCTCCTCTCCCCTCACGGGGTCCCCCCTCCCGGCACGACGAGCGCTCCCCGCCGGGAACCCCGCACCCTCCCGTCGCTCCGCACTCACCCAGGCGCCGCAGCTTGGCCCGGCACGCCTCGCGCACCTCGCGCAGCTCCTGGTATTTGATGGCCAGGGCCGCCTTCCCGTCCTCCAGCCGCGGCCGCAGCGCCAGGTTGTCCCGGGCCAGCGCGCTATTGGCCGCCAGCCGCTCCTCCCGCTCCCTCTGCAGCGCCTGGAACTGCGGCGCCGGGCGGTGAGCGGCACGGGGCGCGCATCGCGCCGCACCGCATCGCGCCGCACCCCGGCCCAGCCCTACCTTCCTGCTGAGGCGGACAGCGCGCTGCAGCCGGGGCTCGTCCTGCAGCAGCGCCCGCAGCTGCCCCGTGCTCAGCGCCCCGAAGCAGCGCGGGGCCCCGGGAGGCGCCGGGGGCCGGGCCATGGGCCGGGCACAGCCGGAGCCCCCCCCGCCGCCGGCGCCGCCAGCACCGGGAGCCGCAATCTCACACCCGGCCCCGCCGCGCCGCCCCGCCCCGCAGCCTTAAAGGGGCCGCCGGCGTGCGCGGGGCCGTCCTCGGCTGTGCTCGTTCTGCGCCGCACCCTCTGTGTGCATCCTGCATCGAACCTGCATTGCATCCTGCATTGCACCTGCTGTGTGCGTCTGCACCTGCTGCGTGCAGCCTGCACTGCTCCCACTGTGTGCAGGCTGCAACTCCATGTATATATGCAGCACTACATCAAATGGTGTGGATCTTGCACCACAGTGAGCAGCATCCTACACCACTCCGCATGTGCCCCATGCAGCACTATGCTGTGCACATCCTGCTTCGCAGTGTATTGGCCTGCATTGCACTTGTGCATTCCATGCACATTCTAGCACTGAGGCCACTCTGGAATGCTTTGCTGCCCGCTGCTGTCCCCAGCATGCTCAGGGTTCGAGCCTCTGCTCCCCTGCTGAAGCTTCAGGGAGCATCTCTGCATCCTGAAGTGCCACCAGCAACTCGTTAGGGAACAGGCACTGAGTGCTGCACCCTCAAGATCCTCCTGCCTGGCTGGTGCTGAAGGAGAAAACTGTGCAAGGGGCTGTGGGGTCCAGTATTTCACTGTGAATTTAGGAGTTCCTCTAATAAATGACTCCAGCAGTTTCTAGGATGGTCATCCTGACCTAGATAAAAGTACATCTTTGCTGTATCTAAAGACACACCTATAGAGACTTGTACAAAGGTTAGTTCTTAACTGACCAACAGCTGGTTTCACCCTGATGGGCAGCTGCATGGAGTCACAGAACTATAGGGATGGGGAGGCACCTCTGGAGCTCCCCCCGTCCAATTCCCCCCAGCAGTTCTGTGCAGCAGGTCACACAGGAAGGCATTCAGGCAGGTTGTGAATGTCTCCAGAGAAGAAGGCTGCCCCACCTCTCTCAGCAGCTGTTCCATCCTTACAGCAAAGAAGTTCTTCCCTGTGTTGGTGTGAACTGTCTGGGATTGTGACTGTTGCCCCCTAACCGATCACTGCACAACAATGGCCCAAGTGGAAGTCTTCCTTTCCCCAGACTCTCTCTTACCACATGGTCTCCACCATGTGGCTCCCTCACTTCTCTCTGCAGAAGGACAGGGGGAGAAAATAGGATGGAAAAGGCTGCGGGGTGACCTCATTGCAGCCTTTCAGTACCTAAAGGGAGCCTACAAAGAGGAGGGGAATCAACTCTTTGAAAGGGTGAGTGACAGCAGGACAAGGGGAAATGGTTTTAAGCTGAGGGAAGGGAGATTTAGGTTGGACGTCAGGGGGAAATTCTTTACGGAGAGAGTGGTGAGGTACTGGAACAGGCTGCCCAGAGAGGTTGTGGATGCCCCGTCCCTGGAGGTGTTAAAAGCCAGATTGGATGGGGCCCTGGGCAGTCTGGTCTAGCATTAGGTGGAATGGTTGGTGGCCCTGCGTGTGGCAGGGGGGTTGGAGATTCATGATCCTTGAGGTCCTTTCCAACCCTGGCAATTCTGTGATTCTGTGATTCTGTGACAAATGTGTTGAGATAAGGAAGGGGAGATCACTCACCAATTACAGTTAGTTCCTTGGACAGGGAGATTAGTGTGTTTTATTGCCTGTTGCTAAAGGACCAGAGCAGTGAGAACTAACAGCAAAGTAAAACCACTTTCCCCCCACCAGCTTTCCTTCCCTCCCCTGAGCAGCACAGCAGACCATTTGATCTCCTGATCATCCTGGCCTGTTGCTGCTGTGCTCCTGGGAAGCTTGAGCAGAAAGCAGCAGCACTGGGATAACTCTTGGTCTGGCAGTGCAATCACAACTCCATTTTGCCTGCCACTTTGAAACTGCAGAGGCACAGGGGGAGCAGCACCAATATTTTGTAGTCTGCCCAGTGCCAATCCATGGCATGGAACCTTCTGGCTTTGGAAGCCAAAGCTGCTCTGAGGACGCAGGAGTGTGTGTGCATGGGGGGAGCACCTTCCTGCCACCCACCCTCCCACTGCTGCCACCTCTTCCAGCTGCTGCCACCCTCACGGAGCTGCCCTCGGTGCTCCCTCCCCATGCTATGCCCATTGCAAAGGAAAACATGGTCTTTCCCTGGGACGGATGTTTCCTTCTGGGTTAGGGGATGACTGACTGTTGGGAGAGGCATGTTTATGTTTTCTAGTCCAACCTGTGTGTAGCAGAATTGACCCCAAACCAGATCTGCTCTCTCATTTAACTTTGGGTGCCTCTAATGCTGGAGATGCTCCCATCTCCCCAGAGGGCCCTGCGATGTTGCAGTCCCTGTAGGGACTCTCTCCTTGAAGTCATGTCTGTGTGGAATCCCAGCAGGATTCCCAGCCAACATGCCTCCCAGCAGGCACAGACCCTGGGCAGGAGCAGATCCACAGCATGGGGACACCACCAAAGCACGGAGTGCAGACCGTGAGCACAGCAGTGGTGTGGGATCATTCTTCCACGTGCCTCATCCCTTCTGCCCCCCCCCAGCACAGAGTTACACGTCTGTTCTCTCAGCGTAACTGATTTAATTAGCTAACATCCATCCACATGAGAACCACGTGGGGCCTTCCCCTCACTGAGCCCCATTGCTTCTACCAAGCACCCACTGTGGGACCTCGCTGGCTGCAGCGGGATGTACAGAACAGATGTACAGTGATGTACAGTGAGCTGAAGGAAGCACATTTATTTGGCTGCTCTGACAGACACCACGGGGAGGCACGGATACACGGACATTTGTGGCACATGGCCCTCCTGCTTGCTGTGAGTTCTAGAGACAACTAACAACCACTGGTGAAATGTTACTCCAGGGCTCTGTGTTTTCCTCCTTCCGTGGAACATACGCATTCCCCCAAAGAATTCACACATTTTGCAAGTATTTTTTTTTCCCTTTTTTTTCTTGATTATGAAGAAAACAAAAATTAATCATTGGCAAGCACAAGGAGAAATGGGCAAAGAAGGGGAAGAGAGGGGAAGAGCAGGTGGTATTTCACCAACCCCCAATACCCTTAGGCTCCCTCTCTGCCCCAGAAAGGCCCCAGCCTTGCAGAGCATCAGGTGCAGATGGGTGGGAGAAGTGCTAACAATATGGAGCTGGTTTAATGAGAATGAGGGAGGATTTGCAGTCCCCTTTGCACAGGCTGCCCCATGTCATGCCGCCCTTGAAATTCAGCCGCACGGAATAACAGGACGAAAACCACCACCCACCCTCATAGCTGTAGGCACAGTTCTTACTGTAGTTGTCCTGATCCCGATCTTTGGTGGAGAACTTCATGTTGTCATGCATGTTACTGGGATTGTCTGAAGTCATGGCATCCCCTGCTGTGCCTGTGTAGGAGCCCAGCCGCAGCCGGTAGCCCTGGGACTCATCCTCCACGCTGAAGAGGTTGTACTCTGCAAACTTGATGTTGTTGGAGGCATCCTGGATGACGAACCTGACCTGGTAGACCTTCTGCTTGGCGATCTGGTGGATGTACTCGGTGCCCAGCCAGTAGTCGCCGCGCACGTTCCCAAAGCCGTACTTGTAGGTGCTCCAGGACTCGGCCCAGGTGACAGCTGTGTCCTTCTGGTTCCTCTGGATGACCGTCCAGCCCCCGCCTGTGGCGTTCATCTCGCAGTACACCACGAGCTGGTGGAGGCCCTTCGGCTGGATGATGTAGATACCGCTGCGGCTGCCAGGAGGGATCTCACTGCAGTCCTTGGGCCAACCTGGAGCAGAAATGTGGTTGTTACATCTTACCTGACACAAGGAGACACCAAGCACGTGGGATTACTTTTACACTTGTCCTATTGCACACATTCCTGGAATGTATTCCTTCCATGTGCCCACAGGAGTAAATTAAAGTATTGAAATGATGAAAGAAAGAGTTGGATTTCATGTGTTTCCAAGACAGAAATCAACCTTACGTGGACACACAGGTCCCACTGCCTTCAAACAGGATGCAATGCAACCTTGTCCAGGTTGGAGTCACTGCAGTGAATCCCATGTTGCCTGTTGATGGTGTATCACCACACAGGCAAATGCCAGTCTGGATTCTGAAGCCACTTGTATGGAAGGTTTAGAGATTCAATCATCTTAGAAACCCTGGAGAGGGTGTGGTCAAGAGATCCATATTGCTCATAATGGATATCAGGAAAAACTTCTTTACAGAAAGGGTTGTAGAGCACTTAATAGGCTTCCCAGGGAGGAGGTTGAGTCACCATCCCTGAATGTGTTTAAAAACCATTTGGATGTGGTGCTCAGGGACGTGATTTAGCGGAGGGTTGTTAGTTAGGGTAGCATGGTTAGGTTGTGGTTGGATTTGATGATCTTTAAGGTCTTTTCCAAACTGAGCAATTCTATGATTCTCTGATTAGGACAAACCCACTGTGCTTACCCAGGTGGCAATTTAGGGGTTTCCTGATTTGTTTCATTTGACCACAGACTTTCTGTTCTCCAGAATGGAAACTCCTTACGCATGAATAAATATGCACTTCTGGGTGAAGACTGGCTCTGCTCCCAGAGCTGTGCTACCCATTGTTTGCACCCAAAGAAGACATGCCGTGTGGCCATATGGCTGGTGCTGACTCAGCCAATTCAGTTATGCAGTTATTCTCTGTCTTAACCAGCCTTGCCATCAACTGCACAGCCAAAATCACACAATAATCAGCCACCACAACCCAAAGGGAGATAGTGAATCATCAATTTCCAGTTTGGGTCTTCGAGTAGAAAATTCTCTCAGCACATATTAAGTGCAGAACACGGCTGGTACTACGGTCTATCCAGGATGATGTGCTGTGGTACCTCTGTTGTTCCTGGGAGGAACAAGTGCATACAAAGGGTCAAGAGCTCTCCACAAGCCTCTGGGCTCTTAGTGAAGGTGAAATCTTGTGAGCAGATGTACTTCTTGTGCAGACTTACCATGAGCTGGTGGTGGGCGTGGGGCAACATCTCTGACCTGTCGAACGTGGTGATCCCCCTCATCTGAAT